CAAAGAAGGCGTAACAGTGTACCGCAACCAGAAAATATAGATCTATTGTGCCCGCCAACTAGTTGCGGGGTAAAGCTCTACAAAGCCACCTCGAGACCCACCCTCCTGATAAATTCGAGCAACGTTGAAGGATTAGTTGACCCCAGCTCCGCTGGAGTGAGCACGTAGTTTACCTCCCTTCTCATGCGAACGAGGACCTTGCATTCCATCAGAAGGTGCGCCGAGAACTCCTCGTCACTAATCTAATCGAATGTAAGGAACTAACATAAATTTATATATAGAAAACTTTTAAAAATTATTCTTATTGCATTACGTGAATAATCAGGCACTCAGAAAGTCGAAAAATAAAAATCACAAAATTTTTGTAAATTATAGAATTGAAATGTAAATATTCTTAGTTCTACTCGTACTATGAAACCAGTTTCTTTATTTCGAATCTTTTTCCACTAGAGTGAGTATTGTTTCCGCTTTTCTTTTAAAGCAATTCCAGATATATAACAAAAAATATTTCTTCGGAATTAGTGAATTTTATACACAAAAACGAAAGTATTTTTTCTAAGTATACAAATTTATGATTATATAACCCTATCAGAAACTATTTGTTTACTATAGGACTGATAAAGGTTATCTCATTTTAATTAAAAATTAAAAAAAAAATTATATATAAAATATTATGTCATACTTATTGAAATATATTGGACCTTGTTTTACTGAAGAAAATTTTATATAAGACAATATTCGTAATTTTAGCCTTGAAATTTGTATACCTAAAGTATACAATTTCATTTTTGTCTATAAGTATGCAATATTTAATATTTATTTTAAGTGTAATAATAATATTGTATAAATATTTTCTTTTTCATTAAAAATTGTAAATTTAACCATAATTACATGCATACATAATAACATTTCTTTTAATGTATATATAATTAAAATTGCATACGTTAAGGCATTTTTTTTAAAATTCTTATAAGAATTTTTTTTCCCTCTTGTCCTCTAATACTCCTTAACTTTACATATTTCATGTTTATACTGTTTTTAATTTGAAATATTTACATAACCGAATGTGGTGTGCCTACACCGCCTATACACACATCACATGTAAATTTTATATATCAGTTGAAAATCCTTTTTCTTTCAAATCCTTATAAGCCATATCATTGTTTTCTGTTTTAATACAACACAAAACAGTTATCCTGTATATAAGGAGAGAGAAATAATTTAAAATTTATGAATGATAAACACTCCTTTTTTATTTTCAGATTTAATTTCGGAAAGGAATTTTCTTTTCTTAGAATGATTTCATTTTTTTTTTTTTGGTTTTTTTGCATTTACTGAAGTGTTCATATGTGTATGTGTATAAAATTTCGCATAAATATAAATATCTACATTTATATACTTAAGTATATTTAAATTATTATAATGTGAATTCCAAGATAAAATCCGAAATATTTAAAATAAAATTTATGTAAATGAAATGTAAAGAAAGAAACAAAAAAAAAAAGAATGAAAAGGGTAATAAATTCCATATTATTGTTCTCGATATTAAAAATACAAAATAACAATAAGAAAGGATATAAGTAAAGGATAAAAAATGTATGTTCTTGACTTTCTTGTATTTTCTCTTTCTCTCCCTTTTTTTCAAATAATATATTAAAATATAAGGTATTGAAGGATATTGCAATTGATACGGCCGGCATTCAATGGTATTTTCTTCTACTTAATTCTATTAAACATAGAATTAAACATACGAGTATATAACGTTAAATATTATGAAATATAGAAACATTTTAATACAATCACAATGAACATAAATTGTAAAAATGTATTTTTCTAAAAACAATGCCACTTTAATCAATTTTTAAAAAGGCTTTACTTAGCTCTTTTCACTAACGCTACTTTTAATTAAAAAAAAATAAATATTTTTATCAACTGTCAGAAAATCCCTAACTATATGCAATTTTATAAATTGCTTAATTGATAAAAAAATAGCTACAATTATAACTTTCAAATTAATTACATAATCGATTATAAAAGTATTATTATTGTATCAGTATTTATTTTGGAATATACCTACAATACCTGTAATGCAACCAAAGGGCAGTAGTGTAAGCAAAGAGATGTAAACAGCCTTACAAAGAGAATTAAGGGATTGTCTTACATGTAAGAAATATTATGAAAGTAATTTTTATATGAATCTGGTAATATTCTAGTTTAAAAGCTACCAGGAACAGTTAAAAAAAGACATTAGAACCTGCTATATAGATAAAATTTTTGTATGCCTCTAGTTTTTACATTGAATGAACATATTTTTTTTTGAATCTCCTAATTTTTTAAAATTCTTTCTTAAAAGATAATAAAAAGATTAATGTTTTTTAGGAAAAAAAACATTAATCTATCACATTGATTAAAAAATTACCTAAAATTAAAGATTTCCTATAATTATTATAATCATACATAGCATACTTTTAGGGGTTTCGAAGAAATATGTGCGTGTATTTCTAAAAATACACTTCTTAAAGTTCATATTTCAAAGCTTTAAGTGCAAATTAAATGTAGAATTGTTAAGGCCTTGTAGCTTTAACCATAAGAACTGTTTTATCAAAAATATGTAACTTACAATTTTATTACTACTTGTCCAGATTTAGCAACAGTAATTGAAAATAGTTACGTTCGAATAAGTCAATTGAATTTTCAATGATTTAATTACTATCAATTTTTGAAAAAAATTATAACATAAAAAAATAACATTATCCATTAACGCATCCATTTAGTGATATTTAATTAATGTTATTTATGATTCAAATCCAAGAACTTCCAATATAAATAAATTTTATTTTTCCCGTATCGATATTTAAATATTGACTCAAACGAATTTAAAATTTAAAACATTTCTAAAGCAAATCTTTGTCTTTATAACTCAAATATTTATAAATCCTTCACATAATTATCTACAAGTCTATACCATATACTAAAAATTATGGCTTAATATATCTAATTATACTACATAATGCAAGACATAATTATTATTATTATAATGTTTATTTTATTTTATTTTTATATATAAATTAATTAACTATTTTATTTATTACTGTACTATTCTCTACATACAAGAAGCTACTTCTAAATTAAAAACAAAATAAATCATTAAATAAAATATTAAAATAATGTTATAGTATACTGTTATATTATCTAGTATATTATACAGTTATAGTGTCAAATATGTTCATTAATTATTTATGCAGTATGCGTGTAAGTATGTTGGAAATATTTTATAAAAAAGGATATATTCCATATAAGAAAAATTACTATTTCTTTATTTAGTGTATAAAAAAAGCAAACGAATCCTCAAATATCTAAAAATAAAATGAAGAAAAAAAAGGTGTGTAGTATTTTATATATGACAAAATTTATAAATAAGTAAAGTAACTGTTATTAAGGTATGTATAAAGTATACACTATATACGCACATATAAAATTTATGTTTGTAGGTATATAGATTAAATGAATTGCGGTAATGACCAATTTCCTTTTAAGAAAACCATTTATATACCTATAAGGATATTATATTCCTCTTATATACGAGTACATAATAATATAGAGGATGCATACATGTATTATGAAAAATTTATTTATTATAGCACGAATTTATATATGGGTTGCACATATTCAATGCTTACATGTACAATGTCTACATGTATTTGTACAGTAATACCTCGCTTATAGTTGCTTTTGAGTTCAAGAATTAATGACTTCAAGTAAAATAAACCAAGGCCAAGTTCTAATCTAATTTTTATATAAAAATTTTGTGTTCTCATATGCATGTTTATTATCTCATCATTTATAAATTTGTTATGATATTATATACTAGGAGAAAATGTGACGTTATGTATTCATAGATATTATTTTATAAATTATCAAACTAAATTATAAATGAAACCTAGGCAGAAACATAGGAATATTTTTTTTACTTTTATATGTAACAAAAAGTGTTCATCTTATTTTTTAGTTCAATATTCCTACTTGAGTCAATTCAGTTTCTTAATTTTAAAACTTTTGAATTTTCAGTTATATTTAGGTCTATTCAATTGGCTGTTGTGAAGATTGTAAAATTTCAATACACAATGGTGAGAAAAAAAAAACAAAACAACTTAAAACAGAAAATTTTAGTGGACATTTACGCTATTCAACAAAAAATTAAATTTATAGCACGGTAGCAAATTAAAGCTTTCACAACTTCGTAAAATTAAGCTGTTTAAATTTGAAGAGTTTAAGAATTCTTATCTAAAATTTTTTCTTTGCTCTTTACTCAACAATAACATGAGCAACTCATTAAAATTTCGGGTTTTCCTATTTAAGATTTAGCGTAATATTAGTGCTTCAATTATGTTTTATGTTTTTGGACGTTTTGGATAGTTTTGGACATCCAAGTTTACATTTAACCTAATTGTCTACTAAAAAGCATTAAAAAATTATCACGTAACTTGTTTTTACATTTTAAATTTATAGCGTTAAGAAAGATAACTCTTTGTGTGATAACGCGTGTAATCGCAATTTTGTAAAATGTATTCTTAGAATAAGTATACACAAAGCCAACGAAACGAAACTTAGAAAATTGGTATAAAAAATTTCCATCAACCCAATTTTTTTCAAATGCATACATACATTGGGGTGATTTTATGCAAGGGATTACTGTATTTATTTCGCGTACATTTCTACTTATGTATTATTTATTCTGCATGTACATACATACAATTCAGTGAGTTATAAAAAAATGATGAAGTTCAAGGAAGGAAAAAAAAAATCAATATATATATTTTTTTAATGTTATACATTTAAAAACACTCAAAATTTATATAACATTAAAAAGGAGTGTGAATTATAGTACATCCGTACATACACACTACATACATACATAATAGGGTATATAATTTTAAATAAATTTTTAATTAATTTGTAGAAAATTATTAAAAAATTTTTAATGTAAAAGTAATTTTTACCTCAATTTGAACTTCCAGCCTATTAATATCATCTGTTGCAGTATTAAGCTTTTCTAATTCAATCTATAAAATCGAATACAAAAAAAAAAAAACAAAGACGGTAGAAAATTATTAATTTTTTTTTTTGGTTTTAAGCATTTTTTTTAATATTTTGTTTAACATCTTGTTTTTCTATTTGTGTTTGTATTGATTTGTTTGTAGTTAATGAGATCATAATTATATTTTCAAAATCAAATAAAAAAAAAATTTTGAATAAATTTAGAAAATAAAATTTTAATTAAAAAAGCTCATTTTTTTTTTTTGGTCACACCTGAACTCTGGGATCAACTCCGCCGCTGCTTGTATTGCTTTCAAAAGACATTTTTCTATTGTTATTAATTTTTTATTTTTCTGTTTTTGTTTCTGCTTCTTCTTATGTCTTTTCTCTTCCTCCTGCTCTTCTTCTCCTTTTTCTTCTTGTGTTTTATTTCTTGTTTTGTACTTTTTTTTTAATTTTTCCAATAAAATTATATAAAAAATTTTGGTATAGAAAAAACTTAACTTTTAATATTTTTTTTTTCTTATTAAAAACAAAAATTTCAAGTTTTCTTTTATTAAAAACAATAACAACAACAAAATATTTAAGTAAGTAACTAAGTAAGTATGTAGGTTAGTTTTTTAGTATTTTCACAACATTTTCATTTCTTTTTTTTCTTTTTTGCAAATTCTCATTGATTTTTAATATAAAAAAATTAAAATTATTCTTTTTTCTCTTTTATTTTATAAAAAATTTTAAATTGTAATTCCCGTGTGTACCGAGTGAAAGAAGACAGAAAAAAAAGAAAATTAAAAGAAAAAAAAAATTAAAATTCTTTTTTTTACAATTTTTTTTCTTTTCTATCTTAAAGAAAAGAAAAAAATTATTTTTATTTTCCACGATTCAACTTTCATGCTCTAGCAACCTACACGCACTAAAACAGAAAAGCTACCAGGCAAGGCAAAGCAATTACAATGATTATCATTTTTATAACTTTGTGCTCTCTCTGTCTCTCTCTCTGTTTCTCTGTTGTTCGTTAAATTTATAATAATTTTGTATAGAGCCCAGTTAGTAGCATACCAGTATAGTAATCAAGAAGATTATTTCTATAATTTTTGTTAATATATCTGCTAATATTATTATGCATTTACATTTTCATTTATAAGGAGAAAATTTTAGAATAACGTTAAATGAGAAAATTTTATAAAAGCTATTCATGCAAACTATAGAGTAGAATCATTTGTTGTTTAGATTTGAAACGTATTGGGGAAATTCAAAACTGCAATGTTGCGTGCATCACAACAGTTTATAATTGAAAACTGATTTGAAGTATCTATCAATAAAATTTGAAGTTTAACAAGTCTTGCTTAACAAGCGCATCTGATTTGTAAAATTTGGAAAAAAATTACAACCTCACGGAAAAGGTTGATTGTTTTTATAGTACGTACTTTTAAAATATGTTCAAAAAAGTTCATTTTGTATCATTATCAAGCTTGTTTGCGCATAGTGATACAATGTCTAAATGACAGTTACATGATCCAAAATATTAGAGGTTTTGTGATTTTTTATTGAAAGGAGTTAAATTTTAATTATAGAAGCAACAATTAAATCAGTTGTACAGAGTGTTCCACAAAAGGTGGCAAATAATTTCAGGGATGTTTGTTTGATAAATTTTCAGCAAAAAATTATGTGGGTGGGGAGGGGCTTCCGATATACTCGCTTTCAAACTACAGCATGTTGACAAAATGGCATCAGATTTTCCGTTTAAATAAATAAGTGGGTATAACTTCAGAGCCACGCGGCAAAAAGTTATTTTTGCTTTACGATCGATTGCTCTTTATTTTCGTTCTTACAATTAATTTGATCTGAGCCATAATTTTCGAGATAAAGCTCGTCAAAATCAGAATTTCTGTTTTTAGCACTTTTCCAAAAATTTTTTGAAAAAAAATGCTTATTACTTTTAAAAGTCCGTGGACACTTTTTTTGTTTACAAAACTTTTACACCCTTGAAGATAGAAAGCTGAAATTTAATACGTACATAGATCTTTACTAGGAACTTTTTCCCGTAGTTCCAAATTTTTGATTTCGTTTTTTTTCCAAATTTTTGATTTCGTTTTTCTTCTAGACCCCGGCCTGTAGAAACTTGAAATTTTAGAGGATTTTAGACATTAACAAATAGTTCATTTTGTTAGAAGAAATTTGTTTTCCATCTCCATCCCCTCTCAAGTTATCGCAAGTTTTTTCAAAGTTCTATAAACGCAAAAAGCTAACAGAAAATTCCGTGACATTAAAAAATATAATCATTTTTCTTATTCTATACGCAATTAACCCATAAAATCGAGCATTATGTTAACCCCACTTTATACTAATTTTTGCTTTATTTCAAAGACTGCATAAATCGTTCATCCTAAATATATGCAATCCTAGAAATAGTTTTGTATATGAATGAACATACACTATTAAAATTATGTATAGGTATACATAGACTTGTTGAAGGGAAAAGTGCTACAATACAAACCATTGGTTTGACCAAACTTTATTTTTTTTGAATTTTTCGAAATTTCTCGAAAATTTTTTGTTATAATTCTGTTTTTGTGTTATTTCTCATGACTACTTGCTAGTCCTGCAAACAAATGTCTAAAATTCATGACCAAGCTTATCAACGAAATTTCTGGTATAGTGTAACGAGATTGTTCTGTGAAGATAAAATATGTATCTTAAAAGTTAAATATATGGGTATGACTCTATTCTTATGTTGTTTGGAGGAAATATCCTTTCTTTGAATTTTAAAATTATCTGTCAAAATATTATGCTTTTTAATGAACATTTGACATTGAAGAAGGAAGGATTGAAACAAAATAGAAATTGCAATTAATTTTCAAAAAAATCTTTTTTACGAATATTTGTTGTAATTTTAGTATTGCAAGTTCGCAACACCGTTAAAGTAGCTCCGTTAAGGTAAGTATAATTTTATTGTAATAGTTATGAACGAAAATTCAAAATTCTGATATCATTACTGTGATTTTTCAAAATATAACGAAAATTTTAAAAAGTAATTTTTTATGTCGAAAAAAAGGTATTAATAAATTTGTGAACAAAAGAATGAAAGACATATAAAAGGTATAACAAAATGTACGGTTATAAAAGCAATAACGGGATTTCACAGATTCATTGTAAATAAGTGTAAATGCAAAATAAATCAATGTATAATAATTTTATTTTGTGAATGTAAGCACACACCGACTTTACATTATTTTTGAAGAGAAAAGCTTATTTATAAAAGTCTTCTCTTTTTCAATTTGTTAAGGCAGAAATGGAGAATTGCAAAATTTGATTATAACTGAAGCGAAAACAGGAATTTTAACGAATTTAATTTTTTTTTTATTTCGCCTATGAAAGCGCATGTCAATTACAAAAGTCATTTTTTTAAATACACGGGTTCCACACATTTACAAGTTCTTGTCATACTTACATATTTGACATGTTTTTTAATCACGGTAATTTTAATGGCAAAATATTTAATAGTATAACATTGGAATTTTTTACTTTAAGAATAATGCTGGGCATATTTTATTAGTATGCTTAATTTTGCTTAGATCTACAAACACATACAAATGATTATGCCTTGCTATACCACATTTTGTTTACATTTATCGACCCATCAACGTGTAATTTATTGCGAAATCACGTGTAAATTTTATAAACAAATAGAATTGTATATACTTATAGCAAGCATGTATGTATATTTATTCATGTTAAAAGCAACGTGGTAAGTTTAATTAAGGTGGATCAAAATATGTAAATTAATTCGGTAACTGTGCTGGTTAAATGAGAACATGTATTAATGATTTCTGTGTATATTATATACTTTTAATTTTTAAAAGAATAATGTTGGAAGATTATGTAATAAAAAACATATTTACGTAATCTTATTGACAGGCGTACTTTTTTTTATCTTATCATTTCTTAACGATTAAATTTTCAATTTATACAATGATATATACATACATACTTCAATAATTTATCTTAATAACTGCTCATACTTGCTTCAAATCGGCCGCTCTTTGAAGTAGATTGTATGATGCATTAGATTCCTCTTGAAATGTCTTGGTACGGGTTTTGTGTAAAATGGGGTTGGTTTGGTTTGTAATTTAACCTTGCTAAAATTATTTAACATTGTCTACTAAACCGTATATTTTTTTCATCTTCTTTTGTTTATGTAATTTTACTAATTTTTCCTTCACCTGTCCCTTCCCATTCAAATGGTGGCATCATTGTTTAATAACTAATACATACTTGATTACAGCGATTAATTTACGATCTTGTATATTGCCACTTTTTTACTTTTTACCTTAATAAAACCAAATTTTCGACCCATGCCGATACCGATAATAAGTAAATACCAAATATAAAACTATAAAGTAATAAAAGATATATATTTATAGTAAAACACAAAATTTCAGAAACTAAAATAAAAAAAATGTATTTATTTAAAAAAAATATTTCAAATTTATAAATATATTCTGTTAAATTTACGATAATTATCATCAACTTTTTATATTAAAATTTTGCATTTTCATTTCATAATTAGTTTTATTTATTTATTATAATATAAATTAATGCCTATTACCAAAAATATAATTATAAAAAAAAATTAATTAAATTAATATCTTTCAGTTTTATTGAAAATAAACAAAAAATTAATCTTATAATAAATAAGAAAAACTCTATTTTATATATTTTTTGAAAAGTTTTCAAATATTCAATATTAAGCAATTTATTGAATTCAAAAATTATAATGGGGAATTTTTATATTTTCAGCATTTTAATTTTTTCTAAATTAATATTAAATTTAAATTTACATAAAAAAAAAATTATTAACTATAGGAAAAATTACAATAATAAATATAATGGTAAAAAACAAAAAAAAAATTGTTTCAAATCAAAAATGTTTAAATAATGAAAACTCTAAATGCACTAAATTTAAAATTATTAAATATTCAGAATTTTTCAATTTGGTACCAATCTCATACACATTTCTAAACTTTTAACATATGCTTCTGATTCATTAGTTAATTGATTTAAAAACTAAGGAACACAATATTGTAACAAGAAGTGGATTCAAACAAAATTTTTGAATGAATCAATTTATAATTGTTTTTTAATAAATTATGTATGTAAAATTAAAAGATGTAAAATTAACTATTATATTAAACCAAAACTTAGTACAATTTCAATTCATGTAAGTATTTGTTCATATTTTCTTAGGCTCACTACTACAGATGATGGAATATTATTCAAAAATTTTTTAATTTTCTGAATAAAATGTATTCTACTCTGGAAACCTTAATTGATTTTAAATAATACTACATCACCTCAAGTAAATACGTCTAACAGAATATGAACGAATAATTAATTCTACGAGAAAAATATTTTATATTTTTGAACATTTTTTAAATACATAATCGCAGTACAAGTAATTAAATTGAATTTACCTTTAATCATTAGTTGGTTAAATAGTAATTAACCCAGGATTTTGTCAAATAATTAAAAAAAGAAAAATAATTAATTATAATCATAAAAATAATATAAATAATCACAAATAATTTTAAATCAATTTAAATAATATATAGTATTATTTTGAGACAATAAAATGGTAAGACCAAAATACATATTTAAATATTTTAATACTTAATATAAATAAAAATTGAACTTATTTTTTAAATATTGCTTTTAAGTGATCATTAAATAAAGTTTCCTTTGTTTTAAATATTTGTCATGGAAGTCCTTACTTTTTGTTTTTTTACATACATAATAATTTATTTAATAATTTTCAGTGCTTTTGATCAGTATTTAACATTTTATAATTTTATTTATTTATTTTTTTTTTCATAATAGACTATTATTATATTTTATAAGCTTAATTTTTGTTTTTAATAAATGAAAAACTTTATTTTTATTTTTTTGTTGGAGGTCACTAAAAATTTTTGTTTATTTATTTTTAACTCTTAATAATAATATTCAATTAATATAAATTTTATAAATTGTTCTCCAAAAATTACAAATAATTGTTAAAATTTTTGTTTTTGTTTTGAATTTCGAAAATTGATAAAGTAAAAATTGAGTTTTAATGATTTCTTATTTTCTTTTCATGTTTCTTTTTCATTTAGATAATGTTTGTAAATTTTAGAGACCTTTTTGTAATTAGTTTATTAATTTTCATATACGAATAAATTTTCTCTTAACAATCATTTAAAAAAGTTTTCATTTAATTAAGGAACTTATAACCAAGATAATTTGGAGAATTTATAGTTATTACAGATAATGGAAAATATAATAAGGTACTAAGTTTGCTTTAGTTCCTTATCTACTCTATTAAAATAGAAAATTTTCTACGAAAAATTATAAAAAAAAAAAGGAAAAACAATAAATATGTCTCTAAGTCATTATAGTAATACACCAAATTATTCATAATAATCAAACATATTATTTAAAGTTATCTAATTAATTGTTAACAAAATTTAATTTGTAAAAATTTAAAAATATTTTCAATACGTATACGATATTTATGTACTTTGAAGTTATTACTGTTGAAAGAACCTGGTCTTTTATTTGATTTCTATATTGTAAGATTGAACTAAATAACACATGCAACATATTAAATATAGAAATAAAATTAATTAGATGACAGATAAAATACAATTCATGAATATTTCATAAAAATATTAATAAAATTTTAATATTTTTTAAGTAATTTTATTACAATATAGATAAATTTAAATTGTATTAAAATGATTATAATATAGACAAATATATATTATGACTAGTTAAAGGGAAATTCCTTTTATAATTTTAATTTTATAAGAATTAATTTATTAAGAGCGTATTTTTAATTTATTTCAGATTATATTAACTTAATGCACAACTATATTATATTGAAAAAATAGACACAAATAAACCTTAAAAGTATCAAACTTTTATTTTCTCAAATATAGCAGCACTATTTAATAATATTTTAAATTTTAATTATTTATGAATAAATTGAATGAAAAAAAAAGGAATATAATTTCATATTTTGCTGTTTTTTTTTTTTTTTTTGCAAAAATTACATCTAAATGTTTTTAATTTTATTTTAATCTATAAAAAATATTTTTGTGCAAAACATTATATTTACATGTTGAAATCAAAACAACTTTTAATGTAAATTTTAAATTTAATATAAAATAAATTTTTATTTTTTAATTTTAATTATTAAATTCTTTTTTGTGACCTCTATAACCAACGTGCTTATAATTTTTGTTTTTTTAAGTGAATTTCATAGCCTAAAATATTATAAATTAATTTAATTTTTTTTTTCATTTATAAAAAGTTGTTACGAATAATATTTTTTTGTTTTTTTTTTTTAATAAAATATTGGTTTTCTTTTACATATTTTGTTCTAACATTGATTTTTATTTTCTTTTAACAGAAATATATCATAAAAAAATATTTATTTCAACAATATACCTACATACTTAAGTATGAAAAATCATGAAAATTAAATTTTATTTAAATAAAGTTTTTATAATATGTACATAGCAATTGAGAGTGATGGACATTTTGTTTATATTACAATAAAAAAAAGGGAAAAACAAATAATTGTTTCGTATTTTCTTAATTAAATAAATAAGTAACTGAAATCTTAGATAAAACTGAATATTTGTATAAAAATTTGTTTTTCTTTTCCAATATTTTGAAAATTATTGAATTTAATCTTTTATGTTGGCAGTTTGCTCTCTATGGTTTCTTAAAATCAAAATAAATTAGGTTTTCTTATTAAAACACCAAAATAAATAATGTACTTAATAAAATATTTTAGCAAACTGAACAAATTTAATTTTAAAGAATAGATCATGTAAATGTAATTGTACGAAATAACCACCAACAAGCGCTTGGATTAATAAAGCAATACAATTTAATAAGTTTGAAAATAAATTATGAGTCCATATTGGGATCTTTCTCAAACATTAATCGGCCGTTGTGATTTATTGACTATTAAACTGTATTGTATTAACTATATAGACTTAATAAACTGTATTGTCGTCTAGTGTTTGAAAAAATATCCCAATACGAAATCAAATTTTAAATCAAATTTTATATTTAACAAGCATCCTTCAACATTTAATTCAATTTATTAATAAAATTTTAATCAGTTTTTGTATGATAATGTTACTTTTTATTAAATTAATGAAAATATTTTATCTTTATAAAATGTTAAATAATTTTTTTTTAAATATTTCTACCTGTATATTACAATAATGAAAATTATTTGAATAAAGAATAACGAAAATTCTAACTTTCATTAAGAATTTATAATAAATAATTTTGTCCATCACTGAATTAAACTAAAAAAATAAGATAAAAAAATGTAAAACTAATATTATTTATAATAAATTTTATTATATTATAAATTATATTAAAAATTGTGGAGGGAAAAAAAAGCCATTAAAATGTTACCAAGAAAAATAATAATATTGATAGCAATGCATTCCGAATTCATTATTTAAATCACTGAAAGTCAAATATTAATTGAATATAAAAATTATGGAATATATAAAATTCCATTATCATATAAAAATATTAAGAAATACACTTTCCTTATGTGTAGTAAATAATCTTCTAAATATGTATTTTTTTTTGTTTTGTTCTGGGCTAAAATTGATTTTAAATATTTACCAATTTATTATGGTTATCTAGCCAAGCAGCCAGAATTAAAACTACTTATAAATTTTTTTATGAATTTCTTTAGTTACATTATGAATATAATATGTTTTTACATATGAATTATTTTTATGCATTTATTTGTAAAAATTAAATTATTTGTAATATTATAGAATTAAAATGCACCAAATTAGCATTTTTACTCATTAAAAATAAACAAAATAATTATTTTGAAATTTTATAAAAAAAATTATAAATTTATTTTTTAATGTTAATATTTCCGAAAGAATTTAATTGAATAATTTAACTGAAAATAAATGGAAATTAAAAATTCATTTTAAATATAAAATTGCAAATCATTCCATATATACTAATATTATTATTAAATTTTCACATAATTTTGTTAAAAGATAGCAATTCAATCAAAAAATATCATTGATTATTAAACTTTTATTATTTTTTCAAATTTTGAAATTTTCAAAATATTTTTTAATTATGTACGCGGTACTTACTTGCGTTATATGATAGTAAGAAAATTTTCGAACATCATATTATTTATTTTATATTTATTAATATATTTATTTAACATACATGATTATTTCTCAAATACAAAAATTTAGTTCTAAATTAAACTTATAGTTTTCTTTAAATTGTGTACTTAAAATTTTTATTAAAAGGAAAAAATGTAATAAAGAATTGCGTTCAAATTTGAAATCGCATTCCATTTTTTATTGATTTGTATTCAAATTTTATATTTTTTTGCAAAATAGGGTGTTGCTTGTACAAAAACTTGTTAATTTTATTAATATTTTTTTAATTTAATAATTTTTTTGAATTCATTTAATTGCGTGTGTATTATATGTATTTAATCTATATTATTATCACTAAATCACTATAAATTTCTACATACAACTACAATATTTTTATTAAGATAAAAAATTAATTGAAAAATCTCGTTTTTTTTTTAATTAAAAATCAAAGAATAAAAATTTTAAGCTAAAATATGAATTTAAATGCATATGGATAATAAAATTATATGATGCTACATAATTTTGAGTACATGAAATATAAAAAATATGAAATTATGTAAAAATAATAAAAAAAAGAGGGTTGATTTTCATTTATTTTCAGTTAAAAAAGAAATATTTTGTAAATTTTTTAATAAATACGGTTTTATCAGTATTTGAAATTCTTTAATTTAGTTTGTGCCAACCGAAAACCATTATGTTTCTGGTTCAATGCTTCTAACAATTTTATTCCGCTTTAAATCATATTATTTTAAAGTTTATTCATTACATAAAAGATTAATATATGTAAACGTGTTTCTAAAATTGTTTGTGAAAGGAAAAAAAATTGACTTAATATTCAGTAAAAATTTATTATAATTATTCAGTTCTAAAAATATTCATTAAAAGAATAATATTTAAAAATACGAAAAAAATAAAAATACTTTTAATGCAAAGCAAAAAAAAAAGGTAAAAAAAGAGTTAAAACATAATGATAACGTAAATTAAGTTAAGCGATATTATCTTGAAACAATTGAGTTTTCATTTTTGTATACATAAATATTAGAGTTCTATATCTTATATCCTTTATTATTACATCAGCAGTATAAATTCAATTTAATCAATCCATACGGCAACTTCTCTTGCAACCAATTCCTTATTGATGAATAATATTCTCTGTAAATTCATTTAAAATAAATCAGTAAATAAATTATTAATGGAATTTTATATTAACAATTAAGAAATATTTTTTAGTTTTTATTTTTATATAAAATAGCAATAGTTTAAGTTATAATTGAAATGAATATTAAAAATTGCAGTTAAGTACTTATAAAATAATAATTTTATAAGTACTTAACTGCAGTAATAAGAAACTGCAATATTAAGAAATAATTATTATTCTAATATTTAAGCTTATTCATTATTTATTACATACATAGTTCTATATGCTTTATAATAAAAAACAATATGTAAAATTGTTTTAATATGCGTATAAATTTAAATTTTAAGATTTTATAACTTATAAACAGTGTTCTTTTAATTTTTGCGCCCAAATTGTGGGGGAAACATATTTTAAAATCATATTTTCTTTAATTCTATTCTTTATTCATAATTTATTTCATTACAATCATAAATTTCCATTTTTGAGCATTTTTGATACACTTTTCATAATAAAATTATTTAAAGTAAAATTATATTGAATTAATTAATTAAAATGTATTAAAATTATTTGTCTGGAATATTTATTAAATATATTGATAATTTTTCTGAATTTTCAATATTTATATTATTTTAAAATAATAAAAATTTCTTTTATAGAACTTGATTTTCTTCCTTGATATAAAAGAACAAAACATAAACCATATCGGCTTCTCGAATTAAAGAAAGTTTTCATTATTTTAGAATATTAATAAAATTATACATTTGTATAACGTTGTTTCAAACAAATGCAAACCTTTTTTCAATTCCAAATTATAGAATAAATAATAAAATATAAACTTTATACCTTTCCTCCAAGTACAGCAAAAAGATAAATTTCTGGTATATTATCTTCAGTATATCCAACAACTTGAGCTTGCAATATCATATTATTAGTCAAAGTTAAAATCATTGCTGGTACATCAACACCCCATGCATCGCCTACAAATTACATAGAAATAAATTTTTTTTTTAAATTATGTTGAAAATAAAATTATTAAAATATTCTTACCAATTGGACGTAAGTTGGATAAACAACAGTCAATTGCTTGGAATGGTATTGAAAGCAAATCTTGCCTAATTTGTCTTAAATCTTCATTATAAATTTGGGTAAAACCACCATGATCAACAAATTTTGCGAAACAAAAACCACGAAAAACTTGCACTATTTGCAATCTATACCAATTGTTGTTAATTCGGCCAACGCAAATAGCATTTTCTTTAAGTTGAGGTAAATATGGTGCATTTATTTCATTATATATACAGCATAAATACGATTGCAAAACTGATAAAAATGGATGAGATGGATGTAAAGGTTGCTGTACAAATAATGTAAGTAAATCACTTTCGGCAGTAACTGTGACTACAGTAACATCATTATTAATACCCTCAACTAAATTTAACTAAAAAAGAAATTGCAAAAAATTTAATTTTATTAATATTGTTTTCAAACAAAGAAAGTTTATAGTGCATGATTTTGAATTTAGTTAATTTCAATTTGAAAAACTCATATAACTTAGTTTAATAATTTACCTAATTTTTGCTATTATTGGACACGAGAAGTTATAGGCTTTTCTTAAGTTTTTGGTCTTATGGAAATAAGGTTAACCCTATTTCCATCTTAAAGATGGAAATAAGGTTAACCTTCTGGAAACTTATTATTCATACGGTAGATAAACCGGCAGCAGTCATTAATCAATTAAAAGGTGTAATAAAAAATATCTAAAAGACCTTTCTGTTTATCATTCTGCTGCTGAAAACGTTTAGTATCCACAAAGCACAAAGAAGTTTTGCGGGCTACGCGGTCGTACCGTACGATTTCGGGAAAGACGGCGATAATAATCCCAATTGACTTTCTAGAGCTAGAATGGAAGAAAACATGTTAGACACACTCAAGAAAAGGCAGCCAAGTAACAATAGCGAAAGAGATATTGCAATAATGCAAATTTTGGTGTAATGTAAAGAATAAATGGATGTCAAGATTGTTCCTTGACATAGAAATTTAGGTCGACTGCACATAGAGCGAGCATAACTACTAAATTAGGCAGTTTTTGATAGAAAAGAATACTTTCATTCTTTCCTTAACTAGGTGAATGAAGTGAGAAGCCCTGAAAATAGAAACTGCAGCAATCCAAGCACAATGCGTTTCATTCTTCTTGCTTTCTTAACAGAATATATTAGAGGCAAAGTTACCTAGCAAGAACACACAAAGATATTGGGTTACTTCCGGCTTGCAAATTTAATAAAGAAATAGAAAGGCAAAATGCAGATTAAGTATTGTTGAAAGCGACCCAGTTTAAATTACCCCTCGTAGGAAGTTTAGTAAATTGAAATTTCCCTCTAGGCCAAGCATCTTCCAATCTCGTATTGATAAAACAATCGTCTTTATTATTATTTTTAAAAAATACAATTAATACAATTAGTTTTAAAGTTTAAAATAGGTATTCGCATTTTTATGTAGGTATTCGCATTAATGTTTGTATGTGTCATTTTGCTATTGACGTATTTTTTCGACTTTCTGACGTCGTTTGAAATACTTATTACTAAGAAAATTTATATAAAAAAAAAATTTAATTACTTAAATTTAATTAAATTTAAAAAAAAATTAAGTTTAAACTTAGACAGTTAACACTCTAAGATAATATGAACGGGAGTAGAAATATAGGGAAAAGTAAAGAATTTTTGTAGAACAACGTTACGGAATAGAGAAGCTCGTCATATATATAAAGGAGGGGTCGTTATTGTTGAACATTTTTTTTTAATTCAGTTCCATATTTAGTAATAATTTGTTTAATACAGTTGGTACACAAAAGTATTCCAAATTTCCAAACTAAAAAGTTTATATTTTGAGTAAAAGCTGGAAATTTTTTAATAATTTTCGTAAATTTCTAATATGTAGATACAATATAATTTTATAGATAAAATGAATTGTGTTTATAAAAACATAAAATTTTTAATAAATAAGATTTTTTTTATGTTCTGACTAGGGTTGACAGATGTACGTATTTTAAACGTATCGTATGTATTTTCTACAAAACCAATGCGATTTGCGAAATGTTATTTATTTTACACGCTTGAAGAAATGAGAGGAATCGACTTACTTTGAAAAATATAGAAACAATAGTTCTCATTAAACACAATTACAATTTGATGTGGAAGGATTTTTATAATTATGTATGTTTTAATTTGGAAACGCTGAAATAATAAAAAAAAATTAAATCAATTAAAAAACACGATTAAAAATTTTAATAAAGTTGACTCAAACCAATGGTTTGTATTGTAGCACTTTTTCCTTCAACAAGTGAAAATTCTGCTTTTAAATACAGTCTATGTATACCTATCACAATATTAAAATTATTTTCATTCATATACAAAACTATTTCTAGGATTGCATATATTTAGGATGAACGATTTATGCAGTCTTTGAAATAAAGCAAAAATTAGTATAAAGTGGGGTTAACACAATGCTCGATTTTAAGGGTTAATTGTGTGAGTTGAGAAAAATAATTATATTTTTTAATGTCATGGAATTTACCGTTAGCTTTTTGTTTTTATAGAAATTTGAAAAAGCTTGCGGTTTCGGAAATATAAGGTGTCAAAAATTCAAATTTTACAAATTTCAAGAGGCGATAACTTGAGAGGGGGTGGAGATGGAAAAAAATTTTCTTCAAACGAAGTGAACTAAGGTAAGTGTCCCTATTACTGACATATTTCGCAACAAATTCAACTTTGGCGTGAGATATTTTATATGTGGGACACAACAAGTGATCGTGTTTCCGATTTTTTGAATAATTTGGATAATTGAGAATAATGTTTTTTATAAAATTATTTAATCAAAATATTTTTTAATTCATAATTTTTCGATTAAAGATGAAAAGAAAAAATGTTCCTAATATTGACATATCCGCAAATGTTTGTGTCTATTACTGACAGTTTGTGTTCTTAATACTGACAATGTAGTTTCATATGCTGTAATCTATATTCTATATATGAATAATGGTTAAAATGGTTAAAATGATAATATTCAATAAAAATGGAATAATAATTTAGATTTCTACGGATGTTTCATCTTATTTCAAAAAAAAAATTAAAAATGAATCAAAATATAATTCAAACAAAAAATAAAAACATATTTTTTATTGAATTAAAGGTAAAAATATGTGAAATTCAGCTGATTTGAATTTATTATTACTGTAGAATGTACTTTTACTAGTAGTCTTAATATGCAACAATGAATAAATAAAAATTTTTAAAAGAAATTTATGAAAATCTAATTCGAAATTACATAATGTTTTATAAAGTATTATAAGTAATATTTGCTGCAAATATATTCTTATAAATAATACTCGTACCTATGATGTACCATATCACGCAAAATTATAAGAAATCATTCTAAAGCTGCTTTTTGCTTTAACAAAGACTATTTATGTATTAAGTACGTAACGAGAGCAACCCATTGTTAATTTTTAGAACAACATTTTGGGTTATTAAAAAGGGCTACTTTTCTTATTTAAAGAGGGCCATTTCCGTTGTAATATTTGTTATGACGTTAATGTTTACATTAATTTTAAAGCATTTTTTTAGAAAGCGAATTGTACTGTTTTATTGACAGTATTGTATACAATATTGACACACAATTTAATAGACGAATATCACTATTAAAAAGCTAAAACGGTCGTAGTCAGATATAGGTTTTCACAAATGTAATCGATTTTCATTCGACAGAAATAGTTAAAACAATTTTAAAGTATAAAGAAATTATTTTAATTAATTAAAATGAATCTCAAAATTAAAACTTTATACTGACACAATTTTGTACATAATATTGACCCTCTTTAGATCGTATTACTGACACCAGTTTTTAAAGGTAAAATACTCCGAACCTGTAGTAAATTCTAAGTGTCAGAATTCGGACATTAGAAAGAAAATTCAAATTCGATTTTAATTAAATAAATACGAAAATAAAAATTTAAATATTTTAAAAGTGGAGTAATTTATAAAAATACGGATTTTTGACGTATTACTGACACATATGTCAGTAATAGAAGCATGGTCGAATTTTAGATGTTTCTAATACTGACAGAAATTATTTGTTAAAATTCTTATTTATTTAATGTTTTTACTCCGAATTACTTATAAAATAAGATAAAAAATAATCAAAATATTTAATTTAATATAAATACATATATTTTTAACCCTCAAATAAGTCAAAAAGCAATAAAAACAAAATCGGAAAAATTAAGCAAAAAGTATAAGAAATTCTCCAATTCAACCCACCATTGCTATGTCTATGGAAACAAAACTGATTTATGTTCAATATTTTGGAGTTATTTCAAAACTAAATAAAAGGAAGTATTGCGATAATTTGAATTAATCTAGAAATAAAAATATATATATATGTTGTATAGAGAAAATCTCTTAATAATTATAAAATACCTCATATATGTCAGTATTACCGCCACTGTCAGTATTAGCTACACTTACCTTATTTGCTAATATCTAAAAGCGCTTAAAATTTTAAGCTTCTACAGGCTGGGGTCTAGAAGAAAAATTAAATCAAAAATTGGGAAAAAAAGGACTTTAGATAACGGTTAATTTGAACGGCCATTTTGTTTTTCTGTCTTACGGTTTCATTGTAACAAATAGTTAAAAAAGGCCATTTTTAGGGTTTTGGGGGAGTATAACTTCTAGAGGGGGGGAGGTAAAAATTTTGTTCTATAGAAATTAATTTCTAGCAAAGATCTATGTACGTATTAAATTTCAGCTTTCTATCTTCAAGGGTGTAGAAGTTTTCTAAACAAAAAAAGTGTCCACGGACGGAAGGACAGAGTGAAACTAATAAGCATTTTTTTTCAAAATTTTTTTGGAAAAGTGCTAAAAATTTCTAATGGGGAGCAGATAAATATTTAAGAAATTTATTATTGATTAATTCCAAACATTTTCTTTCTGAAATAGAAAGAAAATTAATAAGTCTTAATGTTTTTTTTTGTCTATATTGTTTTAGTTTTTCATTTAATTTATAGTAAAAAAAATGTATTAAGATTAAGAAATTTTCCCTGATGCACGTATTTTTGAAAATTTTTATCTGACAACCAAAGTTCTCGTTATAATTTAAAAAAAATTTTATTAGAAATTGAAATAATTAAAGAATATAGCAATAAAGCATTAATTAAATATTTCAACATAATTATTTTATTTAAAATTTCAAATTATCATTTTCTAAATTTTATAATTAAATAATCCAAATTTTAATTTACTCAAATCAATAAAAAAAAAAAAAAACAATTCTTTTTCATCCCACTTGTTAATGACTAATAAAATTTAAGAGATGCGTGATTATTTTTAAACAACTTTTGGTATAAAAATAAATATCTTTTATACGTATTTAAATATTTGTTTGTTGCGTCTGTTATATTAAATAAATTCGTTGGTACTTGTTTTGATTTAGAAAGCTTTAGAGATTTAAGTATTTCAATTTGAAAAGGGTAAGATTAAAAGTAAATATAGGAAATTATTTATCGGTGTTAAAAATCAAAATTGCACCTAAAATTTTCCAAAAAAAACCTAATATAAGAATTTCAAAATAAAATTCACAAAACTTATAAATTATTCAATAATATATGAATTTGTATTTTGTAAAATATATGTGTTTGTATATAAAATATATGTAATTATGATACAAATATATATTTGTAAACTATGTTAATTTTATACAGGTAATTCGCAAGGCAAATAATTATTAATATTTTTAAAGTGCGCAATTAGAAACCATAAATAAAATTATAGTTATTTTAAATCAAATTTGATGTTGAAAAAAATTGTTAACTACACTCATCCCTCGCTTAACGAAAGCTCGTTATACGGAATTTTGGTTTTACGGAATTTAAAAATTAAGCCAAAGTCTCCTTTTACGAAAAAAAAAATCGATTTACGAATAATTTTTCTAGGAATTTTTTTAAATATACATTCTTACATATATGCTAAATAATATGTAGATACATAAAAACCATTGTGATTATGTATGAATATGTACTCCAATGTTGTAACGTAACGTAATTAAAAAGATCCGATTTACGAAATTCGACATTTCCGGACCATATTAGTTCCGTAAAACAAGGGATGAGTGTACTAGTATTTATGTAACTATTTACTAATAAAATATTTAAGCCTAAGGTAATGTTTATATATACGACAAAATCTTAGATATCATTTGAATCTAATTAAGGTCGCACATGTAAACTTTGTTTGACATCAGACTTTGTCTGATGACAAATAATGGGAATTTGAAAGTAAAATTCAGAAAATCAAATTTTTTTTAAAGTTTTGATCAGCAATCAGCTGATATTCATTTTTGTTAAAATTTTTGTAGCAAATCGCTAAATTTTGACGTAAAGTCTGAAAAACATTATAAAATTTCAGCCTAACGTGCAAACAGTCATGATATAAAGGTGAGTGTAGATGATAGTGTAGTCTTTGCACTATGTAGACAGTATATGGAAACAGTACCTAATAATTATTAGAAATCAAATAAACAATAAATTTTCAGTAGATAACTCATTAAATCCCTCTCATACTGATAACTTATTTTATGATAAAAATCAAATAAAATAGAAGAGTTTACTAAAAGCGAATCAATTATTCAAATATGTATTTATATTTGTACACGTGCATGATTATTTGTAAAAAATTTTCCAACTAAAATATTTTTTTCTAAAAATATTAGACATTTCAAAAAGAAAATTTTCTATAAAAAGCTTTCGTTTAGGTAGGTTATTAGTCATAATACACACGTATTAAGGACCAATTAAGCGTATTAGGACCAACAATTCATTTTTCTTGAGAAAATTTATATAAATACATATAGTTAGAAAATATTTATACTCGGCAGTTTCTAGTTATATGAACAGTATTTTTACCTTTGGCAACAGTATATGTATATATACCCATCGGTGATATTCGACCGTCGATAAGCGTTGATATTCGACCGTCTATTATAAATGCATTATGCCCTTATATTACATACATTTATACGCATTCATTTTGCTCGAATTCTATATTGGTATGGGTAGAAAGTAACGCCGAAAAACAAAATATTTTTGCTTTTACTAACATGACGAAATTTTTCAAATACATTTAATCATTTTATTCCAATACCTCTTGAAACTTTTAATTGAAAGAATTTATAGCTTTTATATTAGATAATATTGAAAAGTTTCTTAAATATGTCATCGCTTTGTTTAATCTTTTTATATAGTAAAATTTCAAATTAACTTGAATCTCACCCGATTTGATTTTGCGTTTTAGGTTTATAAATAGCAAACATTTCAATGTTGTTCAATGTAACGTATTAGTATCATAAAAATGAACCTATTTAAGTGCCAATATACTTAGATAATTGTATATAGAGTAAGGTATCTATAACTACCACCTTTCTACTTATAATTCGTTAATAATAATTAATTAAATACTTCCTATTAATTGTCAATAAAAACAATTTCGAAATAAGTAGGTGAAGTATATGTGCATGTGTCTATGCATTTTTATAAAAACAAATAAATAATTCTCTTCTACGCGATCTTATTTACACAAAAACCCGTAAATATTTCTTATCAAATATTTTATTTGCAACATTTTAATTTTGTTTTTAATAAATAGATATATTATTTATGTACATAAACAACATTTATATTGAGTAATATGTACATACATAAGTACAGATATATTTTAAAAAGGTTAAGATTGTTATCAGCTGTTTGACACGTACATAGGTTATAGATACCATACGGCTTTTCAATCTAAGTATAAAAAGTTTACAACATAACCAAACAAAACCAAAGCAAAATTTTTTTCATTTCCTTTTAAAAATTCTTTAAAAAATTCTGTTAAACTTGAAAATTAGAAAAAAAATTTACCTGTAAATAATTTTCTGGTGGTAATTGTACAATTTGATCTGTTGTTAATGCACTAATCCGTTTTAATGTTAAATTCGGGAATTGCTTCTTTGGCAATATTTTACGTATTAATGTTAATGCTGAATAAACTTCACTTTGGGAACCAGTTATAACGCATACTTTATAATCATCACAAAATGTATGCTTTTTAATGATAATTGATGTCCCAGTTTGTGATTTAATTCTATTCAAATTTTTTTTATTTTTACCATAGAATTTACCAATAAATTTATTTGGTAATAGAAATTCATATTTAATATTTTTATCTGATGAAGAAATTGATGGACTTTCTAATGATGATTGATAATTATAATCCGGTGATGATGTTGAATTGCTTAATAGACATTTTCTATTATTATTGCTATTGTTATTATTTATAGTACTTGATGAATTTGTTGAACAATCATCATAATCATTACAATTATTATTATTATATTCATCAACTATTAAACTAGACTCATCAAAATTAGACATTTTAAATATTGGTGAAGCTTTAACAACTTCAGTTTTGCTATCATTAATATTGCATCTTCTTGTTGCTGTTAGTTTTCTAGGTGTACCTGGTAGACGTACAGTTGATGGTGTAAAACTGCACGATGATGCAGATATAATAAAATTATCATTATCTTCATCTTCATCATTAATATGATCTAATGGTTTAATACCATTTAATAAATTATTATTTGAATATATTGATATTGGAGCTGATCTACATAATTCACTATTTTCAGTTGGACTATTCATTTTTTTAGCAATATTAACTGATTTGCCACCATCTACACCATTTAATTTTTCTTCATCATCATCATTATCAATATTAAATTTGGATGATGAATTCTTTAGCTGCTGCTGATTTTGATTATGTTTAGATATTTTACCATTTGATAATTTTTTTAGGTTGTCGTCTGATTTACGCCGACGATACAAGTATATTCCATAAATTAATGCCAACCCTGGTACTGAAATATACATAATAATTTTTCTGGATACCATTTTCTCAATTTTTATAATTATTTTTAACTTCAAATGAATTTTAAACAATTAATATATAATTTTAAAAATTATTTTTTAAAACTCAACACGTGTTTTGCTTTTAGTGAAGACTTCACAACTTTTACACAGCTGGCTGAAAATAAAATTACGGCGACGATGGGCTGAATAGAGATTGTTTGCGTTGCTGTTTTTATTTTGTTTTCTGTTTTCTTCTTTCAGCAAATAACATGTGCTCAGCTGTTGACCCAATAAACATTTAGTTTCCAACAAGCAAAACGCTATTGACGTGAATTTAATTTTAAAATTTTTAATTTTACGTTCACGTTTTGATTTCATATAAATGTTTAATGATAAAATAAAAAATTGAACGAGAATATATTAATTGTAATTTAAGGTTACAAATTCGACTAGACATTCAAGTATTTGTTATTTCGAATTATTAGGAGGTAGTGATATCGTAAAAACATAAAAAACTTTATTATAGACACGAACATACGAATTAGTTGGTTTTTACTACAATAATATCGAGCTTTATTGAGTCTACGTATATTACTATTATTAGGTGATTTAATACTCAGAAAAAAAGCTGATGTTAGTCACTTAATTATAATCTTTATTGTTACATGAAAATGTGACGGTTTCTGTCAACTACTTTAATATATTATGTTATTAAGAAACACTTAAAATGACAGTACTGGTAAACTCTATTTATAGAAAAAACGAGAAATTAGGCTTGAATAATAAATCCCAAAAATGCGTTTCAAAATTTGACAGTTGCGAAAAAAAAATTATGCTTCAATGTAATCATATAAGGATGTACGAAATAAAGATTAAACTTCAAAGCAACTCTTCAAAATTGTTTTATTTTCTAATGTTGAATGCCTGTCAAACTGTACGACTCGAGGCTTAGACATAAAATAGTTTTGAACTAATTTGAATCCCATTGAACTGTTTTGAAATTCGATCAATAAAAATTAATTAAAATGTAAAAACCTTGAGACCAAAACTGTTCCGTTTTTACTTAGAAACTCAGATATTTCGGATGACACTTCACTAAAAAAGAGTATTTGGATCTCAATGGCTATCATTAAAGTAATCAATAGTCTTAGCAAGTTGCCGGCAAGAAAGTTGCAAATCTACAAAAACATTATTAATGCAATGGAAAACTTGTCAGTTTATTGTTAATTTGTTTTGAGCAACTACTTTGACATTTTGAAAATAAAAAAAAGGTTAAAAATAAATAATTCTTGATTTTTTTATATAAATTAAAATGTTAACAGCATAATATATTGCCGAAAATATCATTTTTCTTATTTTTTTGGTTTAAAATAACAACTGTGATGAGCTGGATTCATTGGAAGTAAATTCAAAATTAACGTGAAAACAGAATAAGAGCCTTTTTCCGCGGCGAAATGTCAAAATTCATGTAAATTACGCTACTTATATAAATGGCACTGGGTAGAATGAAACGAGATTACAGCCGGAAATTTAATCAATGGCAGTGATAGCCTAAAAGGATATTTTGCCGTTGGCGATTTGTTCTTTATATTATCTGTCTCCATGCATGTGTGAAATTATATTCAAGGCACTGAACAACTCATTTCGCTGTCGTCGTGTGTTTACAATGAAATTCGTTCGTCGTTTTTCGCTTTGTTTTTACACTTAGTACGGAGGTTTAGAATTACACAGTTTTTTTGTCATAAAAATTCAAATTAAGTGTAGTAAAACAAGATGCGTTAGAAATATTAGATCGAAACGAAATAACTGAGCTAAGCTCAAATTCGGCGAATGAAGAAATTCGCATTAACTGTAGTTTTCGCAAAATAATTAAAAAAAATCACTTGTTATAGGCGCACTTCATTAAATTCGTGTACTAAAAAAGGAATTGCCTATTAATATTACATATAATGACCTCGGCAAAAGAAGTATAGCAAACCAATAATGTCGGTAGGCCTTAATAAATAGAAACGACATGCGTGCATATTTTCAATTCAAGTTTACTTAAAGTAGAATTAATTACCCCTCAATCAAAAAATAATGTTTAGAATAGGAAGGCACCGAGCTTTCAGTTAAAATGCAAAGTTTGAAATCTTTAAAATTTAAGATGTGTGATTGGTTTCGAAAATAAGATTATGTAGTTTGTCAAAGTCCTCTAAACCAAAAGTATGTAAACTTGACAGTTAAACATAACTTTTTATATACACACATATTTATTATAGTTGTATACATGCACTTGTATAAAAAAATATTATATGTATGTGCTTAAAGAATAACAAAGGAAGAAATAATTACTATGCTTCATGTCCGTTTAACATAAATTACATTTATATATTCTTAAAATAAGAAAACAAGCAAATATACAAATTGCACACGATTATAAGAACTAATTTTGTACTTATACATTTATCTGCCAAACGTTACATACTTACATATTCCAAATATTATGTAGATAAGCATGTATGTGTATATAAATAAAAAATAAGAAACTAACTACATAGCTAAACTATCAACAATAACACTAAAATAATTTTTTTAATTCTTTTCTATCTTCTTCATCTCGCTTTCTCTGTTGTGCAGCAAGATTATTTAATTCTTTGGCCACAACATTTTTAAGTACCGGATCAAGTTCAGCTGCTTTTTGTAAATCTTTCTTTGCTAGGTCTGGATTCCATACGCCCAAATGGGCTTTACCGCGACGAAACAAGGCTTTTACATTATTAGGATCCAACTGTAAAACCTCATTGCAGTGTTCAATTACAGCATAATAGTCATTATCTATAAGGCGACATTGGGAAAAATTTAGTAAAAGTGGAACCTTCATTTCAGCTAACTCAAGCCATTCTGTATCATGTGGTTTTTCCCTTGAAAAATAAAATAGTTTTGATAGTGCAATATGTATATGTACTTGCATGTACACCAAAAGTTTATAATTCCTTACTTAAGCATCAATTGTTCAATCATACCCAAAGCTTGCATGTAACAATCTTGAGCATTTTTTATGTCTTTGGTTTTGTATAAATCATTTCCTTTTTCTCTTAGGTCCTTGATTGCTGTTAATTTTTCATCATCTGTCATTTGCCATCGTTCTTTCTGATATTGTTCTGGCAACTCAATAGATATCAATTCAATAGTGAATTCTAGGTCACAAGGGTTTGCAAATAATTCATCCAAATCTTCGTACCCGATTCCTTCGTTTTGTAATGTCATACCACAACAATGTCTTCTTTCTTCAACTTTTTTGTTAACATCTCTTAATGTTTTTGAGATAAACGGATATTGGGTAACCAACTAAAATGAGAATTTAAATGATTCTTTCTTATAGTAATTAACAAATTTATTACCGATTTGTCAACAGTGAATTTTGCTACCTCATTTAAGGCCATTTTCTGGACGGCAACCTCCCATACTTCTAATTTAAATTTTTTACCTAAAACTAATTTCATAGGTTGATCTATTTTACGACTATCGTCTAATAGCTTTTTATTGTCACATCTTCTAGTTTGAAAATGAAATTTAACCTTAATGTTAAATATATATCAATAATAAAATAAATAAATCATATTAATAAGTTAAAAATCTTATTGCATTTTATTTAATTTGGAATTATATACATATTAGGTAGGTACATACCTAATGAACGTTACAGTAAGAACGCACAACTTACCCTCGTTCCAGGAGTTAAAGGAATGTATTCCTTTCCTACGTATAAAATTTCTTTTTTAATTAATGGCGTTAATTCTTTGGAATTCATTTTGAGAACTAAATGAGATCTACGATCTATTATAACAAAATTAAATAACAATTGTTAATATTATTTTATCTTTATTTTTATAAAAAAATGTTTAGTAAATGTCAGATTGGTAATGTCAGAAATTTAAATTGACAATCCAATTTACGATTTCAGCACTTTTAAATGACATATAAATTTACGATTTAAACAAAGAAACAACATGAAGCGATAATTGATTTGCGAAATCGCTTTTCTGAGCGAGGTTTTTGAATTTTTAACATGTATGTAGGTGAGTACATATTAAATCTGTCTGGTATAAGAAAGTTTTACCAGACAGACTTAAAATAAGTGAAAACTTTATGAAAAAAATAAGTGAAAATGATAAATTTTAATACCAGATACCAGATAGGGGTACTATTTATTTTAAATATGTTTTGGGCGTAATTTGATATGAATAAGAGTATAATATATGGACATACGTGTATGCATGTGTATGTGTAGTAAATTACAATTTGAAAAATTCAGTCGGCCCCGTTTAAGAGTTGTAACACATCTAAAGATTGAAAGAGTTTCGTTACATTTATAATTAACATAATTTTTTTATTAGTTTATTTTGAGTGCAAATTTGATATTCAAATGTGATCACCAATGGACAAAGTTTCGTTAAAAGTTACATTTTTAATCGTAGAATCAATTTTGAAAAATATGTACCTACATGTTAACATGTATGTATACATGTATGTATGTATATTATACATATCGAATTTATAAAGAGCCAAATTTTGGATGAAAAGGAAGATTTCATATTTTAATGATGAAAAGTGGGTGAGTAGTTATACAAATTCAAATTTAAATGCTACGTTATCCGCATTTTCAGCTTTAAATTTTTAAATTTTTTCATTTGTTTTAGCTGACGTTTCACTTCTGCCAATTTTCTATTGCATTTTTTAGATTGGTGCCAAAAAAAACTTCTATTTGTGAACTGGAAAGACTGAAAGTAGAATGGTATGTTAACTCTTAATTTTTTAAGTGCAATGAGTAAATTTTCCCAGGCGATGATGAACTAAAAACTCAAATAAGAATAGCTTCCACATACATATGTACAGTAATCGTTCAGGGCGATTATGCGACGATTTCATTATGTCGGATAATCGAACACATTATTTAGGAGTTTCAATTTGGAGTGGATAGTCCAGATACAATTCCGAAATTTCACTGTTATAGTGTACTGTTCACTGTGCATGGGTGTATGCAGGTGTGCCTACTGTTATATTAAAAATTGATAATCAGAATGGTATAATAGGTAAGTCACCTAAAAACAAGATGATTGATAATATAAAATTAGTTCAATTATGATTTTCTTTTTTGAATATGTTATTATGTTCCAAATTAATACCTAATAAATTGTTATTGTTTAGTGTTGCAAGGAAGAGGATGTATTTAAATACATAATTAAGGCCATACGAAAAGTATGTATACCTAGGTAAATCACTTGCTTAATCGCATGCTCACTGGTGAACAGAAAAAAAACTTATATTGAGTTTCAGTGTGCCATCAAAAAATTCAATTTAATTAATTTTCCCCGATTATCCTTTCAAAAAAAAAAAATATTTCCCTCTAAATTTAAAGCCTTTTTCTTTTGAGTGTGAAATTTAATATATAAATTTTAAAGATAGAGAGTTTTATTATTTTAAGGTCTTAATAAGTTTTCATAGCTAAATGTTTTGGATTTCAAATATTTTTTCCACTAAATTTAATTTTAATTTCCGTATTCGTACGCAAAAAAAGTATGAAGTTCAATAATTTTAGAATATAAAAGTTTTTTTTTTTACATGTTGATCATTACTTAGTAGGCACCTAGATCTTCAATTTAAAAATTTAATTTATACTTTTCATATATTTTTAATTAGATATTTGTATCTGTTTATGAAACACAAAAATTACGAAACAATATTATTGATCCGTGACTTTTTCTAATAAATTTTGTGAAGATTTTTATATAATAACGGTTAAGATTATAACTTTGCTATTTAGTGACCACTGGTATGTGAAAAATTTTTTTAAAAATTTAAAGTACGCTTTAGAATTTTATTAACTACACACAAATATACATTTATCTGATTACAAAAATATTTTATGTATTTACATACAGTTAATTTAATCTTGTATTTCAATCGTCTATGTAATTAATATTTTAATTTTTTTTTGTTAAATAATATGCGTGTATTTGAAGAACTTAAGTAAAAATACTTATTATAAAACTATTTACAAATTATTTATTGTCATTGTAATTAATAACGCGGTAACAAATTTTTGAAGAAATGCAATGTGACTACAAAATTTTTATGTAATAAGGTTGAGGAAAGAACAACATACATAAATATTAAATTTTAATGAAACGAATGTTAAAATAAGATTAATTTCCTGATTTTATCTTTTAATAAGTGATTAACTATATAAAATAAAATGAGAGGAATTTGCTTGAAGCTAGTGTCAAGAAGAAATACTTTGCTTCCATAAGTCGGACACATTTGTTAAGAATAAAACAGCAGCCACATAAAAATTGCACGTAGATGCAGCGTTAACTTAAGTTGAAGTCTACAATATAATATTTTGCAGGCGTAGAAATTTTTCTATTTCGTCCCTTCCCCTGCATTTCTCTTCCTTCACAAGTAATCGCAAGTATTTTAACTTTTTCCACGACCTTTCAATTTAATATTGACATCATAATATCAAGTAATATTTAACAATGTTAACTTTCATTTTTGTAAAAAAGAATTCTAAATTTATTTGCTACACAAACTTTAAGTGCTGAGCCCAAATTATCTTCTCCTTACTGCTTCAATGTTATAGGCATTTGCGTTTGTAATGATTAATTTATTTTATTTAATATAGATTTTTAGATTGTTATGCTCGATCTACATTAATTGCATATTTATCTCCTGAATTCTTTTGCCCCACAGTTCAAAAACGTTATGAAATTAATTTAGAAACTTCATACTTTTAATTTACATTAAATTGAAAATTAAAATATTTTAATATAGAATTATAGATAATAGCTAATAATGGTTATGGGTTAATTATTTATTTGAAGAAAATCATCTTTCATCACTGCATAATTTAGGAAAATGTAAAAATCACTTGAATTTTTTAAATTTTTTTCAATTTCCGTAACAAAATACGTATAAGTAAATTTGTTTAATAGAAAATTATCAATCTCTTTAATAAAAACTATATTCTTTATGATTTAAATTACAAATCTTCGGTAAAACATTGAATTTTTAAGATTTCCGTAAATATTTTTAAAGATTGCATGTCGGAAACGTATAAGAAGTATTTGTTTTTTTTTTTTAGTTTTAATTGTAGGTATACAAACAAATAAAAACCTAATTAATATTACTAAAATTTTGTATTTACATACTATACAAATTAATATTTTTATAAGTTTAAATTTCGATTTTCATCTTGTCTTTAGAATTGTATTAGTTTAGGAAAAACTTAGTTGTCGTGATGAGCTAAATGCACTTATCGAATAAGAAGCAATACAGTTCAAATTTTTCTCGATTAAGAAGCAATATGATTCCAATTTGTCCTACACTTTCCTTTGATTGAATAAATGTTAAATAATGATTGAACTTATGTCTACAAAATCGCTTAACCACAACGGATCAGTCCCGGTGTCGTTCGCGAACTCTAAATATTTCAGTAAAGATCAAATAGACTTTCTGAACCTGTAGAAGGGTGCAAGTTTTTTTATAATATTAAAAAGATTTTAAAGTTATAAAGGAATTACTTCATATTTAGTACATGATTGCTGTTGTGCTGTACCATTTATAAATTCCTTTTTTTTTTTAAATTTTAAAAGCAAAGTTTTAAAAATTCATGTATGTAATTATACAAATTAATGAACAAGTGTAATTAAGAAGAAAAACAAAGGCAATTTTGCATGACATTAGACCAGAAAAATTTAAGTGCTTTTAATTACATAATTCTAAAAAAAAAAATGTTGAAAAGTGGTAATTAGTAACAATTAAATAAACAAAAATGTGCCTCATAAAATAAGCATTGATGAGTAAATCAAGTAAAAATTTTGAAAATAACAAATTTACCAATATGAGCCCATGATTCTTTTCATTTCATTTTGATTCAACAAACAAGTAATAAGAAGTCGTTTCAACTGTGCACACAACATAATTATTTATGAATGAAATTCAAATATTTGATTACAAAACTTAATAATAAGTAACTATAAGTATGAATCAATCAATAAAAATTATTTGGAAATTATGATTTCCGGTTAAAGTATTGTTAATCTTCAAGATAAATTAATAATCTTTTCTAAGTAATTTGTTTTTACAAGTACATTTCTTAATAACTTCCTATAATTTTTTTTTAAAAATTTAAGCCAAAAGTAATGGTTTACAATTTAATATTCATCATTTTATTATCACAATAAATGTATGAGAGTCATTGCTATATTCTCGGTCAATGTTCCATTTTTTATATATTTAATTTCTGTACGATATTCTTTATTCATTGAAAATCTTTGAAAAAAAAATATGCTGATCCCTGGCGTCACATTTAAATTCATGCATAATTTTTATGATAAATTTGCTTGTTTAAAAGTTTAACTATGCGATGCAGATTTTCCCAATAAGCATATGTTTTATAGGTTGAAACAGTAGTCCATTTTAGAGCCAGATATCCTAATTTTACAAAACATTTTTATAGCCAATTATAGTCTTGGATTATTGATTTATTTGCGATAAATTTGTTGTTAAAGTATGAGAACCTTTAATAATCTGGAAATAATTACAAAACCAAAGATTTAAGTTATTTTTTTACTCAAATTAATCGTTAGTGTATTTCAGAGTTTCCTACTTTTCTCGTAGGAAAGTCGTGCTTTTTTGTCGGTTTTTTTCAATTTTTGATAGATTCCCTCCTACTCTCTTTGATAAATTTAAATTTCTAACAGTAGCAAGGTTCACCTAAGTATGTCCTATGAGGTGAGAAAGTTAAATAAAAAATTATTTAATTAAATTTATATTGTTTTATAAAATTTATTAAATTTAATTAATTTATTTATTTAAT